CGAGTAGGTATACTGTTGTAAATACAAATCAACCTGCAGATTTACGTGTTGCTCCTTACCTTATTAGTATTATACCTATTTTAATCATTTGCTCATAATTATAAGTAAACGGAAACTTAATTACTGTATRAATAAGGTAAATACTTACTTATACTGTAGTTTATAAGAACCTACTGTTATTATTTGAATTTTTGAAGTTTTCGTGATTATTTCATTTATTTCATAAATAAACAAACTATAAACTAAAAATATACAAAATATTTACCTTATGTGTATTTCTAATGTTAATACAATACAAATGCTAATTTTTGAATAATTTAATTTATTTACAAACGACAACCTCTTTGTTGAGAGAAAGTTGCTCAGTTTTATGGCGACAGTTACACTTGAACAATATCCACCACACTGCGGGTAAAGGTCACATACTTCCGTAGTGTGTTTGGGAATAATATATTATCGCATATGGCCTATGCAATCTGCACATTGTAATAATCACTGTCTATGTTACGATTTAACGAATACATACTAATGTTTTATGAATACATAAAATAATTTAAGAACTGATGAGTGGTATAGGTACCTAATCATAACATACTCGTGATTTTTGGATATACGAGTAATATGCTATTGTGTTTAAACTTCTACTTCACACTGAATATTCATACATATTACTATTATTGAGCACCTATAGATAATATTATATATTATCAATGGTATTATGATATCATTGTTAAATGGAGGTAACTTAACCAAAACTAAAACAAAATAGTCGTAAAAAAAWATCGCGTTTATAAATTTAATTTGGCCAGTTTTTTAATCATCTGATTAGTATTTGAAATCCACATACTCATTCATGAAAATACGATAATTTAAAAATTATTGAAAGGGAAATATAATATAATACCTAGTAAGAAATAAGAATAATATAATAAACAGGTACTGTAGTCTATATAATACAATAACGATATATATACCATTGAACTGAGATTGAACATACGAGTAAATCAATAATCAATCAAATAATAAATGGGTTATCAAGTGGTGCCTACTTTAGTTGTACTATAATAAATTATTATAATATATTATGCACTTATTTTAAATGACTCTATCATAAAAGATATTTTATATAATGGTATATAATATAATAACAATAAGGTTTGAAAGTCATTTCAATTGTTTAAACGTATTAGAACGTTTAACAATTCAATTATTTAGTTTATGATAAAACAGCTTATTATGAAATACGTAACATGTAGTGTTGATACTAACACAGAATTAAACTAAGAACGCTAATATTATGTTGTAGATAACAGTTATTTTAGAAAATGTCTATAGGAGAAGATTTTTTTTTTTAAATTCAAGTCAAAACATTAAAWACAAAGTTTATATGAAAAGTAAAAAATATAAGTTCTATATAATTTACTACTATTAAAATTAAAATATAGGTGTAGCCGGTATAGGTGCCTACTGAAAAAGGCAGCTGATCTAACAGAAGATTGAAATAKATACTATATGGATAAGACACTTAAACGTTTTGTTATGTTTAATAATATACTTTAGGCCAGGCTCCTATATAAATAACGAATACAACTCTCCATAGAATTATAATTTTAAATTGAGCTAAAATCATTTTTTGCGTAGGTTGGTGTATATTTTTTTTAACCTTGTAGAKAATGCCGCATTTTTCTCTGTAGAGTGTATTTAAGTACCYGTTTGTTCCTTTAAAACATAATTTTCGCCTTAAAAAAAGAGAAGTTTGGAGAACGGTTATTCTGTTTTAGTAAACATAATACAACAACAAAGCATTTAGACTAAAAGTGAT